TGAAATATAAACATATCAGAAGTTGTGATAGGACGAGGGCGAGACTAGAGGGTATAAAATTGATAGAGGGACCATGACAAAACGAGGAGTGATAGCATAACCGTTCCGACAGAAAGTTGGTCAAGATACTGACTTCACTTATGTCTTTGACGAATTGTAGCTTGGTTTGCTAAGAATGGCAAGATTCACTGATGATGCTGACTACGATGTCGGCGAAATGTCTGAGAATGTACCAAGTCTACGGTCCGACTCTGAAAAGGATCACACACACCATGGACTCCGGACAAGATGCGTTCCTTTAGGTCTTCCTGCTAATATGACCAAATTTAGGTGGTTCAGCCTCTTTTTTCTTACATCTATCAAGCAAATACAAAAAAGCTTAGTATTTCAGTAAAGTACGAAGCAATCAATAAATTAATAGGGATTTTTACAACAAAATGACATTTAATTTGTTAAGTGAACTATAACTTAAGGAGAGATAAGCTTTATGAGCAAAGGCGGACCACAATTCCAACTTCACTCAGGCCAAGTTTGTAATACCACGAGTCCAGTGGATCAAGTACGTTAGATGGCAATAGTTTAAATGCTTAGCAGTTCTTTAACAGATGGATCCCCCAGGGAATTCGACGCTTTTAGGAAATTTTTCAAAAGATCTTATTCACTGTTAGACAGTATTACAAGAGGTTAGCTAAGTAAATCTGCCAGTAAATTAGATTAATCGATTTGACCTCGCTTTTAAAACCTGGTCGTATTGCCAGGTGGAACTGGTCGAGTCTTTTACCATAATACCCACGATAATTTCCAGCATCGAGCCATGGGCTTGGTAAAGTCCGGCTGAATGATGCACAAGAAGAAAATAAAACCAATGATCTAGTGACCAAGTTGTCTTAAATCTGGGAGCTAACCTAATAATGAAATAAACGCCAAGTGCCATGATCTAGGAAACACAAAGCCTCAATAATGCAATCAAAAGAATGAAAATACACAAGCATAAAGGGTATGGCAACTGAAATATTTTTTACGAAGTAGAATTCCAAAATGCAACCGGACGAAAATAACCATAAGAAAATTTATCATAATTTAAATACAAATATTTATGATGGAAAAAGGCTTGATAACAAGGTAACAGGATACTAACCCTTGAGAAGCGATGTGTATCACAATGTGAAGGTCTCCAGCCTCATTAATTTCGGTTTTCCAATCCGCTCTAGTAACCTCTTTTAAGAAGCCAAATTTTTGCTTAAGAGCCAATTTCTGCATTTCAGCCAGTCGTTTTCGCCTGTATTCTTCCAAAAACGATTCGTCTTTGTGGGTATCTACGAGTTCATCTAGGGTAGCCTCGAGTTGATTTGATGTAAGACTTGCAAACGGATCCCCTTAAAATAAGTCAAAAGGTAAACTAAATTTATCGGTTTGGTGCCAAAATGGTTGTCATAAAAAGCAAAATAGATAATAAAAGCTATCAACAGTCGGATAGGAAAACTCCAGGCCGGGTCACCAGGGGGACCAAATAATAAATAATCTATATAAGCATGTAGGCAGCTAAATTAAATTAATTAAGCTAAAATTGTAAAGAAGTTAGGTACCCTTAGAATACATTAAAGTCGACGTTCTGGATCATAAACAAAGCAAGAAGCGAACATGCGGATACCTGTAGCTGATTCGGGTTCTGAGGGTGTATCTTTTTTTTGCGGTAA